GCCACCCTCTCCCCGAGCAGGCCTCCTCTCCTCTCGGGTTGCTCCAGGAGTTAGGAGGAGTCCGGGTTGCTCCGCAGCCACCCGCACTGTGAGAAAATGAACTTGCTTGCCAATTTTGTGGTATTTCTGGGATAGCGGGCCCAGCTATGAAGACAGACGCTAAGAAAACATCAACAACCAAGAAAAAACTCTTGGAAATAAAAATCAATACCTGAAAGAACCACTCCATAACCTCCCCACCACCCTTCCCCCAAACAAGAACAACCAAGCCCTGGTATCACGGTGACTTGGACCCCTGTGAAGCTCTCGAGCCTGGCAGCACTGTACATCTTCCCAGAAGCAAACTTCCACGGCTTTCTCCTGCGGAGCCACCGGTGGGTTTGCACCATCAAGCTCCCTGTGAACAGCCTGGCATCTTCACCACTACTCTACCAAAACCAAAACTCACCACCTCTGAGCAGTCAATGCTGACTCCGAGTGAGGCCCTGTGGGTTTCTGAGCCTGTAACTGTTGACGGGAGTCAACAGCCCAGTCTTGGTTCCGAGGAGCTTCTGGTGGTTTTGAACTGCCAACCATGCGGATCGCAACCCGACTCGTAACCACTGAGCCACCAAGGCCCCTCTACTCCACCAAAGCTGCTTGTAACTTCAATAGAAGAGAGTAAAGGTTGTGGAAATTCCCCAAAATATAAAACAGGAATTCAAAGATAAAATGTTGAGAGAGAAAGAAAGTTAATAAAACACACATCATTTCACAACAGGAGCCAACAAACTATGACCTGGTCATCTATTTCTGTAAATAAAGTTTTCCTGAAACACAGCCAAGCCCATTGTCTGTGGCTATTTTCACCACGTGACAGCTGAGTTAAGTACATGCCGCAGAGACAATACGACCTGCACTGTTCACAACTTCACCCTTCATTTAGTCTGTCGACCTGGGCACAAGGAGATAGCAATCCCAGAGAGAAAGAAAACGGACAGAATGCAGACAAATCAAGTGTGGGCAAAGAAAAGGTTACAAAATGTCGTAGCACTGAAATGCAATCTGCAGACGGAGGAGGCCAGCAAGCACCCACACAGTGCCCCCCGCCCCACCCTCCCCAGGCGAGGCACATCGCTGTGAAACTCCCAAGTACCCGACAACTGCCATTTCCAACGTAGAATTCCATGTCCTAGCAACACAGCACACTAGTCATGGAGGAAAATGTGCCAGACCCAGGGCACAGCGTCCAACCCCAGAATGTGGGCAGGTGAGACTATGGAGTCAGAGCAGCCCCAGAACACTCCAGTTCACACTGGAGTCAAAGACCAAATCGTTCTAGAAGTGAGGTCCTGGAGTGGGGGCTTGATGGGTGATCTCTGATAGATGTTAATTACTTAGAAAACCATCATGAGACTGTTAACAGAAACCCGACGAAGCGGATGGAGGAACGTATGGCTAGGCATGTAAATAACTAACAGCAAGTGAAAAGTATGCGTTCACGAACTCCAGAAGAAACAAACCAGAATTGATAAGATTAGTTAATATAGTTGATCATTTCACAGACTCCCACGTAGCTCTGCAGCAAGAAAGAAAAAAACACTTCATCGTAAAAATAGAAAACACTTCAAATGCCATAAAAACCTGTGGCCTCATTGTGTGGAAAAGAAAAGGAAGGTGGATAGCTGGCGTACGAGCTATCACAATCAATAAATGGACAAACCGATACAAATCTTTCTAAGCATTGTATTTAGAATGATAGACGAAATAATAACAGAGTGGGAAACAGACGACGCGAGCGAGTAGAACTAACGGATAAAGCAAGATTGCTAGTTAGAATACTAGTCGTCCCTTTAATTGTTTCTTGATTTTCTTTCCATAGTTGCATATAGTACTGGTTAAAAGAAAAAAGTGGCCTGCTCCCCTCCCCGGGGCCGGGGGCGCAGGCCCGCTGCCCACTGCTCCAGAGCCCTGAGGAACTTGGTGGGGGGCATCGCCTACGTGGGTCTCTCCAGGAACCCCGGGAGCAGGTGCAGCGCAGAGGCTGCGCCCAGGACCCCACCCCTCCCCGCAGCGGGCCCGGGAAGAGACAAGGAGCACTCCCGGAGTGTGGAGAGATGAACTCTGGATCCACGCCGCCTCTACCCAAGGCCTCGCCTCGCCGCCCTCCCGCTGTGCCCTGGGGCCCCCTGTGCCCCAGCGGCATGGAGCCCCAGAACCCGGTCCCCAGGATTGACCCGTATGGATTTGAAAGGCCTGAAGACTGATTCAGCATCTTATCGGGAGTTATTTCCCACCTATCTGGTGATACTCTAGAAGAGCCATGAAATGGTCTAAACTTTTAACGGGAAGTAGTTGTGTCCAGAAAAGTCTGAAAGGGAAGCGCCACATCCGGAAAGGGGTCCCGTTTGAGCACCGGGCACGCGTCTGGGTGGGGGTACGCGGAGCCCAGGCACACATGGAACACAATCCTGGCTATTTCCACCGACTTCTCCAGGGAGGGCGGAACGACAGCCTGGAGGAGGCCATCCGGACAGCTGTGAACAGGACCTTTCCTGACCATGCAAAATTCCGAAAAATTGCCGATCCCTGTTGACAGAAGACCCTGCACAACGTGCTGCTGGCATAGGGGCATCACAACCAAGGTGTGGGATACTGCCAGGGAATGAACTTTATAGCAGGCTATCTGTTTCTCATCACCAAGAATAAAGAAGAATCCTTTTGGCGGCTAGATGCTCTTAGTGGAAGGATATTCCCTGACCCCTACAGCCCGGCAAGGCTGGGCCTGAACACGGACCAGGAGGTGCTGGGTGAGCTCGTGAGGATGAAGATGCCCGCGGTAGCCGACCTGCTGGAGGGGCACGGGGGTCCTGTGGACCTGGGTGGTGTCCCGCTGGTTCATTGGCTTGTTCAACACCATCCTGCTGTAGAGACCGTGCTTCGGATCTGGGATGGCTTATTCAACAGAAGGCTCTAAAATGATCTTACGGGTGGCCTTAACGCTAAGGAAACACCACCAGGCTTGTATTTGGGAAGCCACCAATTTTGCATCCGTTTGTGATAAGTTCGAGCAGACGACCAAAGGGCATTTTGTCACAGAATGTCACACATTTATGCAGCAAATATATTCAGAACCCAGAAGCTTAGCCATGCCAACTGTCACCAAGCTTGGAGAGAGCTGGCGTGCAAAGCTGCTCACACAAGGATGAGTCGGGGTCTCCTCTGCCCTTTCCACCACTCTGCACCAACCAGGAATCGTGCAGCCCAGAGCGGACACATTTTTTGTGTGTTGTATATACCGTCCACGTACTTTAGCCGTGATCCCCCACCCCAAGAGCGATCTCGAATCATGTCAGTCTAGGACTCTTAGGTTATACGCTATGGAGTCATAATTTCTAAAGAAAAAAATGTTTACCTAAGACAACAATAATATATAACACACTGGGGGAAAAAAGAAAAAAGCATACAAAATAAACCCCTCCATGTATCCACGTGGACACACACGGACCTGTGAAAGTACACACAAAATGGACAAGCAGGACACACCACCGGAACACTTCCGGCTGCTTCCCAAATGGGGAGAGATGAGGATGTGGAGTAGCAGGATTTCTGATGAATTCTTTCTGATATATTACTAAAAAAAAGACTTAAGGCAGATATGATCAACTATTATTAACCGTCGATGTCAATTCTGGTGACTAGGGAATGTTTCTTTGTTGTTGTTGTTATCCTCTGTACCTTGAAAAACACATGTCTAGAAGAATTCTGACCATTGCAAAGCAGCAGCAGGTGCATCCTTTTCAATCAATGGTGCTGGATCAGTTTGACCTCCACAGGGTTTAAGATGGTGACATGGGAGTGGCAGGAGTCTGCTGAGTCCTATGAAGCAGAGGTCAAACGTACCTCCACTCTAATCTTTTTATCAAGTTTGACACCAGCCATCCCTGGCGTGGGGCTGTCTACGTCTCTCCTGGGTTTGCCACTTCACTGCAGTGACCACCGAGCGTTCACAGACCTTACTCACACTGATGGGGTTTCCTAGAGGAATGATCGTTTTCAGCTGGATCAGGAAGCTTGTAAACAAGATCTACCTTCAGTGCAGGCTTCCTCTCAGCTCCCTGAGGACAGACGGCTCTTGGCCCCTTCAAGACAAGCTTTCCTTCTTGGCTCTTGGTCCCCACATCTCCAGGGTGTCAGAGCCTGAGGTGATTGTAGAAGCGCTCAGAGCAGAATGCCCATGACAAGGGCCTCGCCACCGGCCCAGCTGCCCTCCTTTCAAGGCTAAAAACCTCACTGCCGACTCAGAGCGACTCCGTTAGACAAAGTAGGGCCACCCCCAAAGGATTTCCAAGGCTGTACCTCTTTAGGGATGCAGACTGCCTCCTTTTCTCCTAGGGAGCAGGCAGTGAGTTCGAGCTGCCAACCTTCTGGTCCACAGGCAAATACTCAACCACTATGCCAGTAGGGCTCCTGGAAGGCGACCAGCAGGAACAGCGCTTAGATGGAAATAGGGGTCTTACAGGCAAGAAGGAGATAAATAGCTCACTGGAGGCCGGATCCGCTCTCTCTGACTTCCCTTTCCTGCTGTTCAGACACTCAGAGAGCTGGAGGAGATACGTGGAGACCCCCCGCCAGCGTTGAGATGCTGCCACCGCCACTGGATCCACAAGACCTTCTACCCACTGACCTGTGATCTTCCTGGATTCGGCCCCATTGCATGTGCTGCGTGAGTCTAAAGAGGAATGTATGGACTAGTATCAGACATACAGGCTAATATCAGACTTATGGACTTGATCTGGACTGGGATGTTTTCTCACTATATAATTGCTCTTTTATATAAAGCTCTCTCTTATACACAGGAGTGTCAATCAAAAGTATTCCCTCCTCTCAGCAGACGCTCGACCTTCCCTTTGTCTTTATGATTTTGTTTTGCCATCTCTCTGTGCTCACTGGCTATTCTCAATCGCTCTTATCACTTCGTTCCCTTACTTGTTTCCTAACTCACCCCTTTCCTGTTCCTTCCTTTAGCTCAGAGCCTCTCTCCCTGCGTCCTTCTTAGCGCACACAGAAATAAGCTGGACAGGAATTGCACCGGGAAGAGACACTCACTCAAACCGGGATTCCTAACACATTTAACACAGGTTGGTGGACAGCAGAGTCCGACAATCACGGGTTCAAATTCTCGCACTGGCATCAAGTCCATTCGGACTCTAGGCGACCCTAGAGGGCAGGGTAGAACTGCCCCTGTGGGTTTCCGAGACTGGAACCCTTTACAAGAGTAAAAAGCCTCATCTTTCTCCCGCTGAGCAGCTGATGGTTTCGAACTGCTGATCTTGTGCTTCGCAATCTAACATGGAACCCGCTACGCCACCAGGGCCCCTAAGTCACAGGTCACACAGGGGAAAGGCGAGAAGAGAAATCATGTGAATACACTACAAAGGAGAATTTGGGCGGAGCTGAAACTCAAGCTTGGCACTAACCCACTGGGACAGCTTCCCTAACCATCCCTTCTGAGCACACCGAGTCCCCTAGTTAGAGATTTGGGCTTCAGTCGATGAAAACTTGCCAGCAAGTTTGTGATCTTGGGTCTACCGCCAACAAGAGGGATCACAAATAGTTATGAACCCAATTTATAAACTAGGCAGATGGGTGAGGAAGAGGGCGAAATAGGAGCTGGGTCCAAAGTTAATCCCAAGAGGCAAACGTTTTCGATGGCAACTCTTCAATCTCGCTGATGGTGGATTATTTTAAATGTACCAGGTTCCACAAACAGATCAAACTCAATACAACACCGTACACAACAACATGCCCCTCTCCATAGGCTGCCATGCTACACGCTGATGTTCTCTACAGAGAGACAGTCCAGCGCTCACACCAAGGATGGTGCGGCACTTACATAATCTCCTGTCACCTTGAGCGAAGGGGTGGAGGTTACCCTGTCAGTCAGGTCACAGCTTGATGACCTCATTTGGAGGCAAAAAGGAGATAAATAGCTCACTGGAGGCCGGATCCGCTCTCTCTGACTTCCCTTTCCTGCTGTTCAGACACTCAGAGAGCTGGAGGAGATACGTGGAGACCCCCCGCCAGCGTTGAGATGCTGCCACCGCCACTGGATCCACAAGACCTTCTACCCACTGACCTGTGATCTTCCTGGATTCGGCCCCTTTGCATGTGCTGCGAGAGTCTAAAGAGGAATGTATGGACTAGTATGAGACATACAGGCTAATATCAGACTTAAGGACTTGATCTGGACTGGGATGTTTTCTCAATATATAATTGTTCTTTTATATAAAGCTCCCTCTTATACACAGGAGTGTCAATCAATTTGTTTCTCTAGTCAACCCAGACTAACACAGATGGAAATAGAGACCGGCCGATTGACAACCTACCTTAAAAAAAAAAAATTACATTTCACAAAATATCCAAAATTGTGCCCATTCTTACAGGGGTCAAAGATCTTCAGAAATTTCAGAAGTTTTAGACGTTCACACAAAGACCACCACAGGAAGTGTGTGTCCCCTCCAAGGAGAGGGACCATCATCCCAGTCACCCTGAACACGAGGCAGAGCCTCCTTTAGAAAGTGGGACATGGAAGGCCCTGCCGGCAGCGTGTGCCCAACAATCCTTAGCAACTGATCCTACTCACATGGAACAGTGGAAAGTGCCAACAGGGTTCTCGCGGCGGATGTCCTCATACTCTTCATAGATGCCCCGCTTCTGCCTGGCATTCACGTAGTCCACCAACTCGTGGATGGTCATGGCGTGGGGACCTGGAACATGCACCGAGTCCCAGTCGAAGGCAGGTGGGAGGGAGAACAGGATGATCTCATCGAAGGGATCCGGGTGGCCGTTCACCTGGGGCAGGAACTGGAAATTCCAACTGGCGAGGTCAACTTTGACGTAGCCCCCCAGGTTTTCAGGAAGGCACTCCCTAGGGAGGTGCTGGGTGACCTCAGATGTCTTCAACATCTGAATCTGGAAGGCCAGAAAGAACACATGAATACAGGGGAGGGAGGGAGGAGACACAACCCCCCCACCGACGCACACGACATAACGAAAAGCCGCACTTGTGTTCCAGTAGGGGAATGGGATGCAACCCCTCAAAGGCGAAGGATGCCTGCAGAAGCAGCAGACTAGCATCAGTCTGAGGCTGGAGCCGACTACGGGGCTTGGTGTTGGTGTTACTTTGCCTCCAGTTCTTGAGACCTGAGTCAACGGCCTGCCACCTGACCAGCAGACCTGGGCACAGCAGCCCCCAGTCCTGCAAGCCAGCAGTCTTCACCCGATCGGTCCATCCTGGGTTTGCCCATCTCCGAAGCCTGTCTACAGATGTAGGACCGGCCAGCCCGCACAACTGCACGAGCCATTTCCTCGAAACAAATCTCTCTCGGTCCAAGGGCTTTCCAAATGTGTGTGGGGAAAACTGAATGAAAAGGTAAAGGGTTTTTTTCCCACAAACACGTGGGAGCCCCTCTCATGTGTTTACAAATGTACTTCGCAGCTTCTGCTCCCCTTCAGAACCCGGCCTAAGAGCAAGCCCTCGGGATTTACCAGGGGATGGGAAGGCTTTGTGTCTTTTGCGGTCATGTCTTCCTGGAACGTCCCCCTCTCTCCTGGGACTCTTTAAGGTGCAGCCCTGAGTGGCCCTCTCTGGGAAAGCCCTCCCTGACCGCCCAAGGCCACACAGGCTCCCTGTGTGCTCGCAGAGCTGCAGCCTTTGCACACATCAGCCTCTGGGTTCCCTGTCCACTGGTCACTCCCAGGGCTCAGTGCCTGCGCTGTCAAAGAGAGTCAGTGTGGTTTGCATTTATACGAAGGGGCTTCAAATAGTTCGCGGGAAAATCCCAATGATCTCTTAATTCCATTTTTGCGTAAACTTTCGAAAGCCCCTCCTATATGCATGTACACCACTTCTAATCCAGGTACAGGACCTGCCTGCGGGGTCCTCCCTACAAATTCTCCAAGGAGCGCTCTCTCCCGACTCTGTGTCGTTAGGTCTCCACGCTGCTTCCACAGGACTAGGTTCCCTTCTCCGCCTCAAACCACCTCAGCATTATCCTCCCAATCCCCCTCTAACCCCTCCCACAAAACGCTGATGATGGTATTTCCAAAGGGCAACTGCATTCTCTGACGCTGTCGGTGGACGTATGGGCTTTCTTCTTTAAGGGCTGCAGTCGGTGACTTGAGGCCACAATCCTTCACCCCGGGAATGCTCGGGAGGCTATGGCAGAATTCAGATCATTTTGAACAACATTTTCTGAAGGCAGGTCGCCATCAGCTGCCCTAAGGGGAAAATCCAGGGAGGATGGGGGGCGGGGTGAAAAAGAGAGAGAGAGAGAAACCTCTCTTCATCAACCCTGGCTGTCAAAGGGACTGAGTGCTATTTCCAGGTGAACCACCGGGAGGCCAGTTCAACAGATGCGCTCACAGTACATGTTTTCTTCAATGTCAAGGGCCTGTGGGGCCCCAGGCGAAAGCTGAGGAGCAATGGGCAGTCCAAGAAGCGAAGATGCTGAGGCGAGTCTCACGGCCCTTGGACGTGCTGTCAGAAGGGACCAGTCCCTGGAGAAGGGCATCACGGTTGTAAAGCCAAAGGTCAGCAAAAAACAAGGAAGGCTCAGTGAGATAGAGACCCAGTGGCTACAGCAATGGGCTCAAACAGAACCCTGAGCGTGCGTGTGCTGCACGACCCGGCAGTCTTCAATCCCCTGTGAGTCAGAACGGCCTGGATAGCACTTAGCAACCACAAGTTAGCGAGGGGACCCGCTACATCGGTACTCTCCTGATGCAGGTGCTGTGGAGGCCGAGGGTCCAGCCAAGTGCTAGCAGGGACGTGAGCGAGGGGGCCTGCACCGAGAGGACTACCAGGGAAGCCGACACGTGACTCAGTGAATATGCTCACGGAGCAGAAAGTGCTCCAGGGACGAGACCAGGAGGGGTTTTTTTGAGGTGGGGGATGGAGAGGGAGAAAATTAAAAGCTGAATTTCAACAGTAGAGATGGGATGGATCTCTCCACCACTGAGGAAGCTGCTTGCCTTACTGTGGTAGTTACATAATCTGTTGTCAATTTGAGAGGATTAGGAGAGAGGGGGAGGAGTCTAGCCTGCCAATCATTGTATAATCAAGGAGGTCTCTATGTGGGCATGGCCATCCCCTGAGGATTCTGGACATTTCCCACAATTTCTCCTTGGAGGCAAGAGACACTCTCTCCCTAGGAGACTCTTTACTGACAAGGCTCACTCCCTGCGAGACATTTCTGATAAGAAGCCACATGAAGCTACCCTGATGCAGCCAGAAACCTGGGAGCTGGTGGAACCACGTGGAGACCCCTGCCAGCGCTGAGATGCTTACAATGCCACTGGATCCACAAGACTTCCCACCCGCTGGCCTGGGATCTTCCTGCATTCGGCATCGTTGCATGTGTTTCTTGAGTCTGAAGAGGACTTTATAGATCCGGTCTCAGACATATGGGCTAATATCAGACTTATAGACTTGATCTGGATTGGGCTGGGACCAATCTCAATGTTCAATAGCTGTTTATAAACCTCTTCCTGATACACATGAGTGTCTATGAATTTGTTTCTCTAGTCCACCCAGACTCACACACTTACCCTCTCCCGGACTTTATCCTTCAGCAAGAGGCTGATGATCGAATAGGGCACTCGGAACCAAATGGGTGCTCCCACGATCAGCACCTTCTTCAGACGTGCCGGGAATGCTCCCTGCAGAAAACACACAGGAGGATTGAAGGATACCTGGGAGGACCCAGGAGGGCCCATGACAGTTCAGGCCCAAATTGTATGCTTCCTGCTCTTCTCCCTGTTCGTACCCAGCAAAGGGAGCTTATAGCCAAATTTGAAGTTTTACTTTAGGAGCTGGAGAAAAGCTGTTTAAATAGAAATTTAGAAATTAGAAGCGGATTTGCTTTTACAAGTAATGATGTGATGTTCTCATCACAAGCTTTTATGGCTCACATGCTCTTCTGAGTTTTCTCACCAGCAGCTAGCTAACAAAAGGACACGTGTGCACGTACACACTTCCTAGTGAGGTCTCAGTAATAGGAAAACTTTGAAAGAAAAACGTTACATTTCCCAATATGCAACCAAGTCCGTGAAGTCCTGGTGTTGCCGTGGGTTAAGCATCGGGCTACTAACCAAAAGGTCGGAGGTTCAAACTCTCTGCAGAAAGATGAGGCTGTCTGTACCCATAAAAATTCACCGTCTCAAAAACCCTGAGAAGCAAGCCTGCTCTGTCGGACAGGGTCACTGTGAGTGGTCGCTGACGTGGTGGCAGTGGGCAACACAGCATGAAGGAGCGCTGGCAGTGTAATGGCTAACCAAAAAGGCAGCCTTGTGTGCCCACCAAGCAGGTCCACGGGATAAAGATAAAAGAATCCAGCCTGGGAACCTTACAGGGCAGTCCTGCACTGCCCTACAGGGATGCCGAGACTCAGACTATGGTGAAGATGCTTATTTATTTGTTTAAATACTGGATAATACGACCAAACATAAAATAATTCCGTTTTATAACCTATCTTTCTCGTTAAGGAGCCCTAGTAGCGAGTGGTTACACAGCGGGCTGCTAACCCTAAGGTCAGCTGTTCGAAACCGCCAGGCATGCTGAAGGAGAAAGGTGAGGCGTTCTGCTCCTGTAAAGAGCTACAGTCTCGGAAACCCACAGGGGAAGTACTACCCCATCTGCTAAGGCTGCTATGAGTCAGAATCGACTGGATGGCAGTGAGGTTGGGTGGGTTGTTTGTTTGTTTGTTTGTTTCGTGGGGGGACCTTTCTCTTATTCTGATACTCATGTATTTATACCCACTTATTTTTCATCCTTATCTTCCTCTATGCACCCTTTATTCAGTGAATGAATCTGATCGAGGAGGCACAAGGAGAAATGGGGCCCCAAAGTGGTGAGACACCCAGTCTGCAGGGCCTCACTTGCTGCCATGCTGCTGGTCAGTATCTCAGTCCTGCCTGTTGGCAGTGTGGCCACGCATCCTGGGCATTCTGGGGCACGTCATTACAAGGAATCAAAAAAGAAAAAGAACTGTAACCAAATGCCTTCAACCTCAATTTAGCTCTCTGTGTATGTGTGTACTTTCAAAGGACCAGTTTCCCAATTTGGCATGCCACATGCCACTCTGGTTACTTTGCAGTTCCACTAATTGTAAGGATCGACAAATACTCCCTATAGAGCAGTGGTTCTCAATCTTCTTAATGCTGTGACCCTTGCATACAGTTCTTCATGTTGTGGTGACCCACCTCCAACCATAAAATTATTTTCATTGCTATTTCGTAACTGTAATTTTGCTACTGTTATGAATCAGGTGACCCCTGTGAAAGGGCCGTCTGACCCCAAAGGGCTCGCGGCCCACAGGTTGAGAACCACTGCTATAGAGAATACACAGTAGATAGAGCAAAATTCTCCAAAGGTCCCATGATTGTGGGAAGATGTAACAATTTATTTCCTGGCCTAAATAGCTGTCTAAGCCCCTTTACCTAACATAAACAAAACAATTCTACTTTTATAGAAAATGCAAAATGATACCATTGAAAGTTAGAAACGAATGAAAGTATGAATTTTTATTATTGAGATTTTAATATGCAAGAAATTTGAATTTCAAAAGATAATTACAAAGACTGTAAGCTATATTATAATCATGAAAAGTTCATTAAATCAGTGAAGATTACTCAGTACACTGACTACATGGGCAGTCAAACATTCCATAACTCTGGATGGCTGTTCTTTCTGATGTTTTTAGACTGTGAAATTACATTAAATTTGAAGAATCTATGAAAAGAAAGAAAATACAAAATGACAACTAGAAAGTGGAACCGATACGTCTGCGTCCTCGGGGCACAGAGCTCTAGATCCGCGGCACAGTCCGTTTCCACAGCTGTGTGGCACCTGCCGAGACCCTCATGCTGGACACTAAACAAGTGTGGCCCTCTGCAGGGCGAGGGGCAGCACGAAGCTTTAAAAATACACACACCCCTGACACTTCTCGGGAAACCCATTCCTAAGATGACTTTAAGTGGATAACTTTTATTTTCTGATAGTTAAAAATAGTACCTTAACACTGAAAAGCCCATTTATGTACGAAAATGGATGAATGGTTAAGAAAAACAGTGTATCTGAAAATAGACTATCACATAACCCTCAACATGGCGGTTTCAAAGCATTTTTACAACCGGGGAAAATATTTTGTTTCAATGAAACCACATAAGATTGAAAGTCTAATTTTGATGTCATTATAAGGAGAGAGGCACACACATATACTTCTATACAGACAAAATGATGGCAAGACATGATGTCAAAAGTGCAGTGTGGCTACATAAATCTCTGCTAAAATAAACTTTAGGGCAAACACAGAGAGACATATGAATAATGATTAAAGGGTCAATTCAAGAAGAGAGCATCATTATAATACCTACGCACTCAAGTTCCAAAATACTACATAAACCTTGAAAAGAGAGCGAGCACCCTGCAATAATAATAGAAAACCTTAAGCCATCACTTCCATTTAAGGGCAGAACAAGCCGAAAGAAAGTCAACCATGATACAGAAGACCAAACACCACCATCAACCAACTCCGCGTCATAGACAGCTATGTCTACAGAACACGGCACCCTAACACAGCACCGTCTACATTATGTCCAGCACACGTGACTCATTCTCCAGAATAGACCATGTAGTAGGTCTCGGAGTTAAACCGATGCCAGATGCATTGCCACTGAGCTAATCATGACTCGTCATGGACTTGCGGACCGAGGAGAGCTGCCCCCTAGGGTTTCTAAGGCGAGAAAGATTTACAGCAGCAGACCCCCTCATCCTTCTGCAGAGTGGCTCGTGGATTTGATCCGCAGTCCTCAGACTACAGAGCAAGCATCCATAGAGCCAAACCCATCAAAATAAAACAAAGTCGCTTCTCAGATCATAACACGTAGAAACCAATCGTAAGAAGAACACAGAGCAACGAATGTACAAATGCGCTTTACACAACTGATGTGTGCATGGATTGGGATAAGAGTTGTATGAACCCCCAAGAAAATGATTTTTTTAAAAACCAATGGAAAAAAAAAGAAAATGATGGCAACATACATACAAATGTGCTTGATACAACTGATGTATGGATTGTGATAAGAGCTATAAGAGCCCCCAATACAATGATTTTAAAATTAAAAAAAAAGAACACAGAAAATAATCAAATACAAATTAAACACCACCTTGCTTTAAAACCACTAGATAATAGAAGAATGTTTAAAATGAAATAAAAAAATTCTTATACTTAAATGAGATTGGGAACACAACATACTAAAGCCTTTGGGACACAGCAAACACAATTCTCAGAGATAATTTATAGCAATAAAGACACATATCACCAAGGGGAAAAAGCCAAAAGTCAGTCAACATTCTACCCCTAAATGCCAACAAGCAGAAAACGAGCAACGGGGGCGGGGGCGGGGGGTGGGGTGGGGGGAGCTCACAGTCACCAGAAGAAAGGAAACAATCAAGATTAGAGCAGAAATAAATGACACAGAAACCTGAACAAAAACAATAGAAAGCGGCGATAAGATCCACGTGGGAAACCAGAAGTTGGCTCTTTAAAAACATTCATAAACTCAACAAACCACTAGTCAACTTAACGAAGGAAAAGAGAGAAGCTCAAAATAATACAACCAATGAAAACATAAAGTGGATAGCATTGCAACAGAACCAACTGAAACTAAAAGTGTGAAAACAGCATACCACGAGTAACGCAGAAAAGATGGAAGTGGTTGAGCATTTCGATTTATTTGGATCCATAATTGATAGGTTCGGAATCAGCAGTCAAGAAATCAAACAACACATTGCATCAGGCGGAGGTGCTGCCCAGATCAATTTAAAGCGTTGAAGAGCAAAGAGTCCCCTTGAAGACTAAGGTGCACCTGACCCAAGCACCATCAATCATCTCGTGTGCATGTGCAACTGGGCAATGGAGTCACTGATGCATGTGGATTATGGTACTGCAGACTGCCAAAGAACAGCCAGGATGCTCCACCGAAGCGCAGACGGCGGCAAGGCTACATCCCGTGCACTTTGGACTCGTTATCAAGAGAGACCAGTTCCTAGAAAAGAACATCAAGTTTGGGAAAGTCCGGGGTCTATGGAAAAGAAGACCCTCCGTAAGATAAGTTGGCACGCTGGCTGCAACCATGCCGCAAACATGACAGGAGTTTTGAGGGTGGTCCCAAGCCAGGCGGTGTTTCCTCCTGTTGCACAGAAGGCTGACACGGGTTGGGACGGACTCAACAGCACGGAGCAACAACAAGGAGAAACGTACTCCAACAAACATGAAAACCTAGAAGAAATGGACACATTTCTAGAAACACACTCCCTACCTGAACTAACAGATTGAAGTGGAACATTTGAATGGACCGAGAGCAAAAGGAGGCCGTATATACTTGTGGATAAGCCAAGGTTCTCAGCACATTTTTAATGCAGTTTTTGTGGTGAAATTAGGTGCCTCGGCTGATATTCGGGTCAGCTGATACTCGAGTAGATACGGTAAACTTGAAGAGTCGTCGAAAAAACAAACACACACAGAAAGAAAAAACAAACACAAAAACAGCTCACAGCATCAACAGCCCTGGTCCAGATTGCTTCCCCGGAGACTCCTACCGAACGTTCGGAAAAGAAGTACTACCAGTTCTGCTCAGACGACCCCAGACTGCAGAAACTCAAGAAACCAAACTCACTGTCATCAAGCCCATTCCAGAACCCAGAAAGAGGTGGAACACTTGCAAACTGTTTCTATGAATCAAGCATACCTAGATACCAAAGCCAGGCAAAATCAACACTAAAACAGCAAGTCACAGACCACTATCCCTCATGAATATCAACGCAAAACTTCTCCACAAAATCCTCTTGTTAGGTGCTATCGTGCCAATTCTAGCTCATAGCAACCTGATGCACAACAGAACAGAAGGCCTAGTCCTGCCCCACGTCAGGACAGTCACAGTCCATCTCCTTGAAAGAGTCTTCCTCTTTCTCACCGACCCTCTACTTTCCCAAGCATGCTGCGCAAACAAAACCCCAGCCACTGCAATTCAATAAAATAATACACCAGACCATGCGGGATTCATACCAGGGACGCAAGGATGGTGCAATCTTAGAAAATCAATCAACGTAATTCATCACATAAATGATCTATCAATCAATGCAGAAAAGGCGTTTGATAAAGTCCAGGCCCTTTCCTGATGAAAGTACTGAGCAAAACTGAATGGAGAAGAAATTTCTCAGCACAATTAAGGGCCCAGACACAAAACCAACAGCCAATGTTATTCTGGACAGAGAGAGACAGAACACATTCCCCATGAGAACGTGAACCGGACGGACCAAGATGCTCTAGGTTAGCATTCTTATTCTATAGTTTACTGGAAGGCCCAACCAGAACAATAAGAAAATAATTGATGGCTGGGGGGTCACCACCATATGAGGAACTGTATTAAAGGGTCGCAGCGTCAGGAAGGTTGAGAACCCCTGGGGCTATCAAGACACATTTATTAACCAGCGTCCGGAGCGTTTATTAGGGTTCCCTCTGTGTGGATCTCCACTTCCGTGTGAAGATCACGCCTTAGTCTGAGGAAGGGGATTATGAGTCATCCTTGACAAGCGGCCTTTCAGCTGAGCAAAAAGCCTGAAGTTTATGCCATTCCCGAACCTTCTCCCACAGAATCAGGAGAAAACAAAACTAGAGTGTCCCAATCATCCAAGGAGAGGTGGGAACGGCTGCCCGCGGCCTTACCTTCAGCAGGTTTAAGACTTTCTTGCCGAGATCCAGCTCAAAGTTGGCATAATTAGAACCAGCCATGTCGTAGATAAACACCAGTCCGTTCCTCTGCGTTTCAAAGCTGTAACCAATCATTGATCAAAAACATTTATCAGCAGGACGATGGCTGAGGGAGGGGGAAAGCCTGGGGCAGTAAATACGTAGGAGACATACCCTAGACAAAAATAACTACCCCCATGAATACCGGGCTTTTACAAAAAAGATGTCCCTGCTAGCCTTACTGCTTGATCCAAACTTCCCACATACTAAACTCCTCAGAGCAACCAGAGCATCAAAGGGAGAATACATCCTCCTCCCTGCCCGCACCCCGCCCCACTTTTCTAAAATTGATGATCCAAACTATACATTTTCCACAGCGCAACTTAAAGGTTTCCTCTTCCGTAAGGGTCTCCCTGATAACTAATCAAACATACAACATCTTTTACGGCCTCCCTAAAAAACCAAACCAAGCCCACTGCCACCATGCCGACTCACAGCCCCTCGATCAGACAGGGTACAACAGTGCCTAGACCTTCTGAGACTAACTCTTTATGGGAGTAGAAAGCCTTGTCTTTCTGGCGAGGAGGGGTTGGTGGATTCGAACTGCTGGCCCTGAGGATCACAGCCCAATGCATAACCATTATGCCACCAGGGCTCCGTTGAAGCTCTTGAAGTGCCATAAATCCTCCTACGGGTTTTTCTCAGGGCTGTAATATGCTCCAACTTCGTGTAATCATTTGATTCTCCCCTAGAGGGCAGAAATCTGTTGTCGTCCCCACCACTAATTACCCACAAGAGTCCCTAGCACAACCCTTGCAAATAAGGTACAAAATAAATGGCCAGTGAGTCAATGGACTGGACACCCACACTTAACATACTATCTTATGCCTGGGCAAAACTGTCTAAGATAAGCCTTCCTCTAATTCACTACTGGTAAAATCACAGGACCTCAGTGGAAGAAGAAATCAAATCCACCAATGAGCTTTGGCAGACATCTTAATAAAACAGATTTAAGACGCAGTGAATCTAGTCCCAGAAGTGAGTTGAGGAAATGTCACAGGGTCGCCCGATTCATAACAGTAGCAAAATGATAGTGATGAAGTAGCAATGGAAATAATGTTATGGTTGGGGGGTCACCACACATGAGGAACTGTATTAAAGGGTCTCGGCATTAGGAAGGTTGAGAACCACTGACCTAAGGTTATCTGCTATTGGAAGCAATCTGACCCTATTGTCTGCCCCACCCTAAGTAGGGCCCATACCCTTCTGAGAAGGATCAGAGATTGTTCCCCTGGAGAACAGCTCAAAGACACGTAAGGCCAAGCCAACTCAGACGACCAAGGTTAGGCTGCCATCTTGGCTCTAGAGGCCACCCATCTTGCTTACGTCTGTGCCTTCCTGTCACATGTGTGCCTCCACTTCAACCCATTCCTATTGCGTGCACAGCCCTGGCTCGCCCCCTCATGTTATGTGTATGCCTCTTGTACAACCCCTTCCTGTTACCTATGTGCTTACCATGGCCTGTGTGCCCAAGATTATAGAAACTCCTGAGCTTACATTTCTCTCTCTCTGCTCGAACCTGGCTCCTGAAGTCGTAACTGAGAGGTGAGCCCTTGCCTACTTTATCTTGTCTGATGTCTCTTTAATTTACCCCTCAATTACACAACCGCCCCTTGGACCCATTTGGTTGTGGGGAGGCTGGTCCCCCACAGACTATCGCCTCCCCATCTGGATATGTACTCAGCCTAAAAAATAAGGTCCATCCTCACCTATCCACAGCTCTGTCCAGCAAGTAGAACAGAGCCTGCAGCACCACGTGTTGGACCGACTTGTGGGGGTGGTGCAGCCTGGCAGTGAAGAGGGCAATGGAGGCTCCCATGGGGTCCCGATCATTCTAGAGCAAAGAAAACGAGACACGTTTAGAAACCGCAGCAGTCGCTAAGGAAAAAGGTTTGATGGGTGAAGGAAATAGATGCCGAGAATACTTCCCTGACTTGCATCAGTTTCTCCTGAAAGCCAAGACAGGTTATAGTCCTGTGGACCACATTCCATGACAGCGACACACCCAACCAAACCACCTTCTCTCTGGTCGCCAGCGACAGACGGTTCTAAGGATACTTCTGCATTGGCGATGTTGGGTAAATTCTCAGGCGGGATGGTAAAGGAAATGAATGGTAGGGAAAACCACCGAACGGGACCATGGCTTTCAGGCTCTGCCTCAGAAGAGACGCCCTACACTTACCTGAAAGGTTGAAAACTCTTGAATTGTAAGGTCGAGTTAAGTAAGGGTGTCTACCCATCCAAAGGCCTTGATGAACCTTAACGGCCAATGAAGCAACTTTCCTAAGTCTACCGTCAACTAGTTCTCCCTAATGTCAATCATGATGAGAATCCTATCGGCCACCATGCACAGCTGCATCATGTCTACTCCTGACCTCTGGGAGGTTCGAGGTCTTGGATGAGATATCTACGAATAATGTGGAGACAGCTGAGATGACATGTGACAGCAAGGATCTGTGTGTAAGACTCACCAAGACGGTGAACTTCCCACTGAGGATCTCGGAGCGGAGGGGCTCCTCGTGGGGTTTCAGCTTCACGATGCCTTCCTTCCTTCGCGTTTCCTGCAAATGAAGCGCGGCAAGATCAAGCCATGTGAACACAGTTTTGCGTCATCACCAGCCCTCAGGGTTTTAGAAGTCAGCTAGATGGATCAGGAATTCCTTGAAGCTCTTTCTACACTGGTTGGGTATGATTAGAATTCCTGTCCAAGGCCACCTGATCCATCCCCCTCAGTCAGGCATTTTCCTTGGCTCACCGGGAATCTCAACCCAGACAGCCAACCTGTACCTTGAGCACTGGTCAGAGATGCTGAACATGCAACCGAGCCCCAGCTGCCTGAGCTTCAGGATACTGAATTTATCTGGAAGCATCCATGCTTACACCCCTTCTAGGGCCAGCCGCTCTCGTCTTAAATACTACATGTCCTTTTCCTTCCCCTCCGGGGCCGGATTCTTTAAGTTCACTCTTAGTTCCCCCCTCTCCCACTCACTGTCCCGATTTCCCCACAAACTACTCAGCTGAAAGTTTAGTCGGGCACCTTGATCCTGTTCCCGTCCTGCCATGATGGGGCTGACCGCTTACATTCCCTTCTCCATGAAACAGGCTGGACCTTCAGACAGCACGAGGACACACATGTTCTCGGTTCTCCTAAGTCTCTTTGCTGGGGTCGCGTCCCCCATTCTCTTGCTCTTCAATTCACTCATCCATCTGCTCGATCCACTCGCTACAAACATTCGTAGGCCACTTATCACTTCCTTGGCACTAAGGGCACCCTACTGAATAAAACCCGATCTCTGTGTCTACTCATCCCCATCCCATCCCTAAAACCGAATGCCAGTTGCCTTCCGACACATGGCAGCCAGGGAGGTAAGTGAGGACAGGCTCGGTGATGGGATCAGACCCAAAACACCGGAACTCAACTTTTGAAACAACACTGCCGCAGAGAGAGAAAGCAGCCTAAGGTGAGATTCTACCCTCCACAGTGATCTGGACGACCAATCCATTTCCCTGGCTTCCACATTCAGCGCTCCCTGGCTGACTCCTTAAACTCCCCATTTCCAATTCAGATTCCTCTCCTGAGCTCTCAACCTGACTCATATGTCTGACAATAACTTAGAAGACACGTGTGTACGGGATTAGCCCAAAGCCGTTTCAAACTTGCTGCGGGTACCGTGAGACTCATGGCCTGCTCTCTCCACACACCTACCCGGTGTCCCCTGAAGTATTGAATGCCACGACCAGTGAAGCTGCTGTCCAATTCAGAGGCCTGGACTCCTGGACTCTTCCCTCCTCACACACCCATCTAAGCAACTCCGTCTTATTGCTTTTACTTCTTCAGCATCTCCATCTTCTCCACTTCTCTCCATCTCCCGACACTACCCTTAAGACTCCACAGTCCTCTCTCCGACAGGGAAGCGCACCGCCTGCTGTCTGGGCTCTTTCTGCTCTCATCCCTGTGGGAGTCTGCACATGTGGGAGTCAGCATGTCTCTCAGCCCATGGCCTG